GAAATGATAGAATCCTTTGTTTTTATTCCTTGAACCAGATACTTCCTTAATCATTGGGTTGATGGCCAAGAACTGAAAATAGCTGTTGTTTTCAACCCACGTATTAAACAATCTCCAACTAGTAACTATATCTAAGCAGAAAAATATAGGTGGGCATTTGCTTTCTTAAAATATAATAGGGAACATTTGCTACACATAGCTGTGAGAGTTCAGAGGTCGTCCAGCACCCAAAGTGCTATTGCAGCAGAGGGTATCTAGAAGGATCCATTTTTCTCAACCAGAGGGTCTTGATTTTGGTTGCACATGAGAATCACTTGCTCAGTTTTTAAAGTCCCAACACATGGGTCAATACTACTCCTGTTAAAGAAAATCTCTGAAGATACACCCAGATGCCAGTAATTTAAACATTGCCTATTTCAACATATTGCCCAGGCAGAAATAGACTATTTTAAGTATCTCTTAGAATGCTAATGGGCATCCTTGAATATATTTCTTAAATTTAATGTTTCCCAAACTTCAATGTCACTGTCCCACATTACTGTGAAGAGGAACAGAAAAGGATAGCTTCAACGAAATATTCACTTAACTCATTCTCTTAACATTGATAGTTACAACAAAAGCCAAATAATTAATCAAAACAAGAACAGCATGACAACAAAACTATCCTCTGTTAAGTTTTTGAGATAGAGTATTAACAATTGCCAAAATGTGGTAAGAATTTGGCAATCAGTGGTGCTGGCTGTGGAAAGGTGGCAAGAGGCACATCTTGATGTGTGTGCAGCGTGAGAGATTCTGGGAAGAAATGAGATCATCTGGGGAAGGTGTGGCGGGATGGGTCAACTGCCTGGGCTAGATAGGAAGGTCTTGGATAAGTGGAATGGAAGAGTAGTGGTAGGCCTGATTTGTTTTGACAACAGACCTTTACTATGTAGTCCAAAAAATTTCATAACATTAGATCACTGGCCAAGTTATTAGGACTTTTTAATAGGACCTGTAGAAACAAAACAAAACAAATGTCAAATCATAAATCAGGATTAAGATTCTAACCCATAGTGGGATGGGTGAGTGGTTGGGTAGATCTAGAGAGCTATAAAAAGGAGCACCCAGATTTGAACATTATTATGAAATTATAAAATACATCAGAACAGACACACATGTTTGTTATTAGCAAATGAAAATTAAGCAAAGTAACTTAGAAGGAATTTATTTTGAAGTGTGCTGTTTAGTTCCAGGGTCTAAAAGCATCTTCTCCTGGATTTTCTTCATGTTATTAATAGTGAAGTGGAGTTGGACCACAGAGTGGCAAATCATAATTTATCCTTTTTGCTTCCTTTATTATTATTTTTGCGAGTTTGGGATATGAGTTAATTCTTTGAGCTTTATATAGCTTATCCATGAACTAGGGAACAATATCTATTTTAGAAATCTTACAAAAATTAAAGAAAAATATATTTCAGGATTTTAATAATTTCAAATATTTTCCTCCAATTCATTTATCTCCCATTATTTTAATCTCCATAGCAGCATAGATTCTTGCAGATGGAAGGGCTATATAAATTTTATATAAGGCAAATCTGCTAGTAGTATAAGTTAATCCATACTCTGAGGATGGGGAGTCGGTGGTTTATGTCTAAGCATGAAAATAGTCTTTTGTTATGAATAAACTCACTCAAATTATTGAGGGAAAATGATTTAACAACATACTCATATACTAGCATAGCCTTGCAGGTCTTCAGGAGACCTGAATCATTTGGCAGATAATTAAAAATGTAGCATGTACTTATGTCCAGTAGATTGTTGGCAGGATTTTAGATGATAGTGTTGCTAGATCTGATTTTTTTCAAGGAAAGATAAATCCAAATAAATTTTAAGCCTCCTGGTTTTTGAGTGTTGACAGCTAATTCCATTTCCTTCAACACTGTGTGGGCCAAAGCAAGCAAATCTGAATATGCCTGTGTGCTACTAGTATGTAAACTTTGGCTTATGATGGTCTCTTTCCCTTCTAGCGCTCTCTACAATGCAAGCCTAAGAATAACTATTGCATTCATCTTGCAATCAAAGCATAATTCCTCTGGGAAACAGATCAACTGTCTTTGTGATGGCAGAATCGAAATCATCTGATGACTCACCCATAAAATGTGAGATACAGGAAACCAATCCTTTTCCCAAGTTTTGTGACTTCTCCTTGCTTCTCAGCTGCTCCAGTGAGTCGCACAATGCCTACTTTCTTGAGGCTGGAGAGCCATTTGTATGCATGCTCATCATCTTTTAAAACATCTTCAAAATTCAGAGTGGGTAGTTGGAATTCTGAGCCCCAGTACTGACATTCTGTGGATTAAGAAGATGAAAAATCCAGATGATGTTATTTTTAGGTAAAACACCAATGTTAGAGGAAAAGACTAGTTCATTGGAATCCATCTTTGATTTGTCATGGAGTTTACTAAATATCGGTCATAGCGGGAATGCTGAATACCAGGTCTTTCTTGGAGCCATAGAAGTCTTTTATGTGCCTCTTGCTTCCAATGTGCCTGGCATGATTCTGTATGCTATTTAGTATACCTCATATATTAAAGAATGTTGCTTAGCTTATGGATGGTTCTTGGTCTTTTTATTCTTAGAACTTATCTACCCAGACACTACTTAGAAGTAAGCTTGAGGCACTGCATGTATAACAGGCAGATCATATTATTTGACTCCAAGTAGATGATAAAATCAGGTTGCTAGACTAAAACAACATGTGCTTATTCTGGTGGAAGGGTAGATACAGAGCCTTCTTCCTCTTATTTCACCTGTTTGGCAGCTATCTCTGTGAACAAGTGGTTCTTTGGGGTCAGCAAGAGATGGCCTTGGGGAAGGAAAGATGAGGGTGCGTTCCTGGTACACACAGACCTGTGGGTCACAATGCTGAAGGAGATAAAGTCCTTTCTTTTGTCCTCTCGTTCTTGATGATTAAATGCTTATAAATGTGTTTACTTGAAAAAAACAGAAAAGAAAACAAACATAGAAAATACTGGCTTCCAAACCAGGTTCTTGCAAAGGAAGTGGAACACAGAGGAAATGTAACTTTGCCGAGGGAAACAACTCAGAAAAGCCTAATGCTAGCCCTTCCATTCACGTTCTTTCTTTACTGGGAAGGAAATGAGTTAACACGGCAATTCTTCCTAAACAAGTGAAAGAATGAAAACCTATAGTCTCATCATATCTTTAGAATGCTTTACTTCTCTAACTAGTACATATATTATATATGGAATCCATCCCCAAAGCCTTCAGTTTAGGAATGAAGGATGGTCAGTGCTTCTTATAGGTGGTCTAGTTATGAAATAATTTCAGTGTGACTATTTCCGTAGAAATAAGATAATAGCTTCAGTATCGAAAACATATGCAGACTTGTTTTTCAATCAATTGCAGGAGCATTTGCAGGAATAAGTAGCTCTGTATGCCCACCAAGGTCCAGTTAAGCTGCTAATGCCTACATTGTCAGAATTTCTGGGTTGCTGAGCATAACAGCTTGTGTAATGAGCTAGATTACCAAGGACTAAATTAAAAACTATACATTAGGAATCTTTAGTGGTTGCATTCATCCTATTAGGCATATTCATTCTAATATTCTTTTAATATTATTTAGTAATAAACCCATTCTATGATCTCACATATTTTACTATGACATTTCTAGAAGTCAAAATGAAACCCAGATACTGGTTCCCACTCTCTCATTTTAACATTATTTTTCTCTGTAGGACTAATCAGAATAGTAAGAAACTTACCTTGGCAAAGGCAAGCGTATCAGTACTGCATTGGCTCATGTTACATTGGACTAGAGCAAGTTGCTTGAGGCAATACCAGAAAATAGAGCAGGAAAGCTTCAGGCTAACAATTATAGTTGCTTTGAAGGAAGAGGATAGTGGTTTTGCCTATAGGTTCTTTTTTTTGGTGGTACTAGGGATTGAGTCAAGGATCTCGCACACATTAGGCAAGCACTCTACCACCGAGCTATTACTCTGGTCCTCTTTTTAAAAATACACATACATTTTTTTTTCTTTTTTTGAGAGCGTCTCACTATGCAGAGCTGGCTGGCCTGGAAATCATTTTGTAGACCAGGTCTTGAACTCACAGAGATCCACTTGCCTCTGTCTCCCAAGTGCTAGGATTAAAGATGTGTACCACCACACCTGGCACATTTTATTTTATTTTTAACCTTTTTGGATTTATTTATTTTTATTATTATGTGTATGAGTGTTTTGCCTGAATGTAAGTGTACCCGTGTCCTGCAAGGCCCATGGAGGCCAGAAAAGGGAACTGGATCCTTTGGAACTGGAGTTACAGCCAGTTGTTAGCTACCCTGTGGGTACAGCGAACCAAACCTGGGTCCTCTGCAATAGTACCCATTGCGCTATCCACCCCCACATTTTATTTTTGAGACATGATGTTGCCCAGGCTCATCTTAAACTTGTTATCTTTCTGATTCAGCCTGTAAGTTGCTGGGTTTATAGGCCTGTGCAATCAGGCCCTGTTTAGGTTCTTGGTATTTCCTGAGTATATGAGCTATCCAGTAATTAGTTGTTGGTTTGTCTCTGTAATCAATCCAGTGTTTTACTATGTCACATGGCACCATTTCAAGGAGCTCACAGTCTATGGGAAAAATAGACTTGGAAGCTGATGATTAAAACACAGTGTGGTAGAAACTATGCTGCATAAGCATCTGATCTATTAGAAGATCAATTAGAGATCTGATGTTTCTAGGATGCCCAACAATTCTTATACAATATGATGTTTCCCAGGTCCACTTCCTTATGCCTCAGTATTCCTTCTAAAATCAAAGTTGGCTTTATGCAAAAGACTCTTTTCAAACAAGCAATCGACTTGGCTTTGCTTTAAATATTGAATTATACAGCTCTGTGTACTGGCATTTCCATTCGTTTATTGCATCTTAAATCTTCAGTCTGTAATGACTGAAAAGCCTACAAAAAGAGAGTGATGAATGTCATAAATATTGTATATTGGTAAGCCAACTGGAAAGGCTATTTGGTTTCCAGTTAGGTGAAAAATGTCCAAGGCGTATAATCAGTGTTATAGGTATAAATGACGAATTACCATGTCTTCCTTTTAAAGTATACCTGGATTATATCCAGAAACTTAAACTAAATATTTAAAAGTAGATTTAAGCTTATTAAGGCTCAAAGGGAAACCATGGAGCTATAGAACATCAGTGGTGGGTTAAAGGAGAGAATTACTCGATGTTGTCACCCTGGCTTTGGAATCCCCATCACTGTTAGTTCTTGCTGCCTAAGCTATGATGAGGATCCTTCTAGTTTCCAGCACTGTGTTAACTTGTGAGAAGACACAGCTAGCATCCTTTATAGTCTGTTGAATAGAATTTCCTATTATCTACACAGATATTTCTAGCAAATGTATTGCCTTTATCACAGAAGTTTTGTAATTTAGAAAAAAAAGTCCCATTTCTCATTGACTAAACAAGCACAAAGTGATGTGATAGCATGGTAATATTCAACAGGACTGGAATGGAATATGCCATAGCCACATGGTACGGTATCACAGTTACTAGTAACATACTGAGACATGATATCTGGGTGGTAGAAGAGATAATCAATCTTTTTACTTGCTTTTAATTTGTAAGCTAAATTTGAACCATTACATGCAACTGGTACCAAATTTGACAGAGCATGAGGGGACGACACAAAGGCAGAGAGGCCTGGCTTTTAATTGTTCTCCTGCCTTTTACCACCTAGCTTCTTGGTCTATGAGTTTCAGCTTCATAATTTATGAAACAGGGACAATTATGTTTTCCCTGCTGGTCTTTTGTAACCATGCCATGAGACCATACAAAGAGTGTAGTATAGTGCCTGGCACACAGTAATCATCATCAACAACAACAATAATACTATAAATATTTGCTAAATAATTTCTAGGAGTCATGTACAAGCTTGACACTTCATAACTTTATTTCTTTTACTTTCCATTACAAATATGTGAGCTAGATGCTCTCAGTATAATGAAACTGTAAAGAAAGGGAACAGGGGCCCAAAGTGTGCCACTATGATTTGCAGTGCTAGCCAGTCAAATACAGGTGATTTATCCCAACTCTCTAACTTGAATAAGTGCATATGAAACAAACATTTGAGGCCTTGAGATGTTGTCATCATGGGCTTTTAAAAAGTTACATCTTCTATCAGAATGTCCATAGCTTGCTCTGTCCCTTACAAAGGAACTCTGGTGGCTAATAAAAAGTAGGGTAAGCTATACTAAGGAACACTTTGTCTGAACTTGTTCAAGCATGAGTTTTTAAAGATGAACTTTGACTACTAGTCATGATTTAAATGCAGAGAAAACAGGTGTAGGGCTCAGTTGTACAATGTACAATATAACTCTGTGTGGAATCAACCAAAGTTTTGCATATTTCAAAATAGTTGGCTTTCTTTAACTTATGCCAATGTATTTAGTCATACAGTCCCTTCTGATTTTAGTAAAGATCAAAATCTCTGTTGACTATATGGAAGGGAAGTAAAACATTTTCACAAGATATAATTTGTGCGTCTAAGAAGGGTTTATTGACATGGCATTTATTCTTATGTGCTCATATTTGGCTAAAAAAGCTACACTAACTAAAAGTAGCTTTCAAATCTTGTCAATTGTGTATTGACAAAGGCAATACAACTTCCCACCAGAGAAGAGGCATTCATGTGCATGGATGCAGTTTCACTGACAAAAGCTGCAGATCAAAGAGCTGTCTCTACATTTACTCAGTGAACCTTCCTCAGTGAACATGCTGCTAGATCCCAATGCATTCAGAAAATCCCTTGATACAAAGGACAAGTGTAGGCACCATTTATATGTTGTGTCTATTATGACCACAAAATACAATTTGAAGCAATTACTGTAAATCCTAAGAAAACTGTTAAATCTGCATAAAATTACGTACTTGGTAGTACTAACATGTTATATTACCTTTACATCTGAAAAATATTAATAAATTAAAATTGTATACATATATGAACTTATCAAATAATTAGTAAAAACATTATATTTTAAAACAAGATTTATTTAGGGAACAAATCATATATGTTTAAAGGATCCTTGAATAATTTTTATATGAATTACTTTTTCCATTATAAACAACATGGATACATACACTATTGTTTATACAGAAAGCTGGAGAGTCTTGTAATAAGCATTTCTCTTTGTCTGTGTAAAATTAATCATATTCACATAGAGACTGCCATAGAACCATTTTCAATATAATGCCTAATACAGTCCAGGTTACAAATAATTTTAATTTTCAAGGTTTAACTCTCAGTTGCTTTGGGAACATC